CCCCAAAACCCCAAAACCCCAAAACCCCAAAACCCCAAGCAATAAGAACAAGATTGAACCTCATGTTATTTAAAACCTCATTCTTGGAAATCGTCAGCTTCAAGCTGTATTACTGAGATTTTGGAGTTGTGGAGAACCACCAAGTGTTTAAATACCGACTTTGCCTCAGCAATGTCTATGATATGGCTCTCTAATTGCCTCTTTAGCGAGACTGGTCTCGACACTTGGGATGAAGCCTCAATCTTGGTCATGAATAGGTCTTCGCCAGCCGCAGATAAAACAGTGTTTTTGCCAAGATTGCTTGCGAAGATGGATTTGGTGATGATATCTGAGGTGATCTTGGGTTTGATTTGTATACATCTTTGATAATTACTACAATCTTGAATAAAAACTTGATCATCTTCGGTCGCAAGAACAGATGATCCATCTTGATTAACTTGAAGCCACCTCAGCTTGCTTGAGCCATGTGTGAATACTCTTCTATTGGCTTTTGTGGCTGAGCTGGATGAATAAAATCTAAAAATGCCTTGATAGCTTCCTGTTATCACTAATCCTCCACATACATTTTTGGAGGAAATAGATCCAAAATTATTGGAGCTCTCATTTTTAACTGGGACTTGAATTACACTTGAAAGTTTACACGTGGTCCAAGACTTTGAACAACGACTTTCAAGTTTATCTTGCTTCATATAAATCTCTTTGATCTGAAAAGTATCTCAGAAAATAATGGACTCAGTTCAGTCTTTGCCAGTTCCATTAATACTTGTGTTGTAGTCCTCAATTTGATAATCGTTCTTATAAATTTTATATATCTTCCTCTTTAGCAGATCGTAGCATATCAGTTTGTATCCATTAGTGCTGGAAAATACTAGTTTGGATCCACTGTTGAACAAACAGAGTTTTGTCACCTTCATCTTGCTCTCAAGGCTAAGGTCGCAGTAATGTACAAGCCCTGAAGTCTTGTCTAGCCCGAAGACTCTGATCTTATCTTCCAACATGACATAGACGTATGAGCTTGGCTACAGAGATTTGAGTAAAGACTAACTTAGACACCTAATAACACCCGGTACATGCTCTCTTGTCACAGAAAGATACTGGGAATACTTACTGGAGTGCTCGGCTTTGGCTCCGCCTTGTCTAAATAGAAATCCACTACCTTTGTGTTAGTCGATTCCACAAATCACTGACCATTTCTAACAACTGCCTATTTGAAGTTTATTATTTCCAAAATTTGCTTGAACCAAAAGATGATTAGCTTAGTCTTTTGAGGTAGAAATCAAAAATTTGGATATCTTCTTCAAAAATTGATACTGAGAGTGTAAATTTTAGTTTTAACACAAGAAATATATCACTAAATTTCATAAAAACTTCCAACAGCATACCTCGAATATATTTTGCTCATTAGGAACCTCTTTCGCATGTACAAAGTTGGGGTTGGTCATGAAAGGGCTGACTTTGTAAGAATGCCTAACCTCATTCGATGACTCACTAGATTCACTTCTTTATATAGATACCAAAGCTTACCCAGATTTGCTTGAACTCGAATGATCGAGAGGTAAGACAGTATTCTTAGTTTCTTCTTTGTCGTAAGATAGCAAACTTTCTTGAGACCCCATCTGCTCAGTTTTCCAAGACTTTGAGCTTCTATCTCTACTTAGAAATATATCAAAGTATCCTGCAATGCTTTCGTTGAGATTACGGAGTTGTGAAATATCAGCCTCTTTAGCACAAAAGAAACTGTATCTATTACTAATATTATGATCTGTATCTTCCGAGCTAAGAAAATAGATTATATGATTGCTGTCATCATACAAATAGTCTTCACTAGACTCAGCTACAAAGGTGATATCCTCTCCTCCTAAGGTGGTTAAGGTAAGACCTACTACCACTAAGACCCTTGCACACAAATTGGCCTTTGCTCTGTACCTCTTCAAAAATCAGCTGGCACTCTTGGAGTATCAACTCAGAGACCTTGTCCTCATGACTAAAGCAGTAAAGTTCTCCTCAGACTTTATGATAACCGTTAGAGTTGCTAAGCTCTGACTCATAAATAAAAGGAGAGTTTTTAGAGAGTTTCCCATCTGAACCACTTGAGACCATGACCTTTTCCTCCTCTTGCAGATTTGCAGAGCTAAAAGTTAAGAACCATTTACAGATCTGAAGCAGATGAATCTGAGCTTTCAAGTGAACAGGGATAGTCCTCCTGCAGTGTAATACTAATCGATCTTCTAGTTGTCTCAGGGTAGTCAATATTAATACTAAAAGCCACCTCAAAAGTGGTAGGGTCTTGAATGATCTGTAGAGTGCCTTCTTCAATTTTCTCCTTACACTCTTCTTGCACTGAACCTCTTTGAGAGCTATCCTGAAGCTTAATCTTAGTTTCAAAGATGCTCATTCCTCCAGCCTGACTCATAAATTTCCGTAAAATTTGAGATAAAGAAGTGGCTTCAAATAAAGTTTCCATTACTCAAAAAGTCAATTTTTTAGAAAATTAACGGGGTTTTGGGGTTTTGGGGTTTTGGGGTTTTGGGG